ATCCCAAGGCGGGGAGGGGGCGGCTGGGATGAGTTGGGAGGTTGGGATCGATGTGTATCCACCACTATGAATAAAGCAGGGAGCTAAGGAGAACCCACTGGACGACACAGGGAACTCTCCTCGGTGCTCTGTGCTGACCTAAACAGGAAGGAAATCCACAAAAGGGGGGATACGTGTAGACGTGTGGCTGATTCACATGCCTGTACATCAGAAACTGACGCAGCTGTGTAAAGCAACCAATAAAATAAAATAAATAAGTACAATAAATACCAATAAAAATACAAAAATCCAATAAAATAAATACATAAGTAGAGATTTTATAAAGAAGTTAATTTTGAAAAAGAATCCTATACTATGGGCTAGTCAGGGGAGTGGTGGCTGTCCCATTTCACAGGAAGGGAAACTGACGCCCGTGTTAGTATTTGGAACCACAGTGCCACAGGACAGGCAGAGGCAGAGGCCACATCCAAGCCCACGTTTATCTGTTGCTCCAGTCTTTCCACTCCCCACCCTGTCCCCCTGCAGGAAACGTATGGAACACATTACTCCCAAGAAGTGGTCCTGAAATAGATGGAGCCATGAACACCTTTAGATGTTTTCTTGGATGTCACATCCCTAGAAGCTGGCTTTGAAGAAAGACTGATTTTTTTGAGTCATGCCTCACTCAGCCCTTTAAGGATGATGCCCAGGGAGCCAGGCTGTTTTTCCCACAAACTTTTCTGTGAGAGAAGGAATCGTAAGATACTCATCTATGCTTCAGCCATAGGTTGCCTGCAAGTTTAGCATGTAGGCGTTTAATTCTTCCTAGTTAATGTTGTCTATGTACTAGATTATTATAGTAATATGTGTAATATATACATATATAGTATGCCATATATACTATAGCTTCCCAGGTGGCTAAGCGGTGAAGAATCTACCTGCCAAAGCAGGAGACGTAGGCCATGCGGATTCGATCCCTGGGTCGGGAAGATCCCTTGGAGGGGAAATGGCAGCCCACTCCACTATTCTTGCTTGGAAAAATCCCATGGACAAAGGAGCCTGGCAGGTTGCAGACCATGGGGTCACAAAGAGTTGGACACGACTGAGCATCTAAACACACACACACACACATAAATACGATAATATATAGAATATATGATGTAGTATATACTTGTGAATATATAAATATTTGTATATGCTATATATAATGTAGTACATAGATAGGTGGTATGATATAAACATGGATAGATGGTATGATATAAACAGGGATCTGGGCCTCATTCTCACTGAACTGTCAGCTTAACGGAGGGAAAGATCTTGAATGAATGTGTTTAATATACTACACAGCCACTTGCCACTTCGGGCCTTTCTATGTCAATGGTAATTCTCTTAATTGTTTCTCATGCAAATCTGTCTCCCCTTTTAATTTTATTGTGACAAGACCACGGTATGAGAGAGATCCTCTTAGCATGTTTTAAGTGTGCATACATTATTGTTGACTGTAGATGAAACTCCTGCAAGAAAACACAGGAGGAAAGATTCGTCGTGGGATGATTTCATGGCTCTGACACCAAAAGCACAAGCAAAAAAAAAAAAAAGCCCAAACTAAAAATAGACAAGTGGGATGACAGCAAACTAAACAGCTTCTGCACATAAAGGAAACAATCGACAGAGTGAAAAGGCAACCTGCAGAATGGGAGAAAATATTTGCAAAGCATATGTATGATCAGGGGCTCATCTCCAAAATATGTCTGCCCTGTCTCGTCCTCGTATCTCAGGATGCTGCTTGTGGCTTATCAGAGTTGATGCAGCTGACATGACCTCAGTGCAGACCTTCAGATGTCTCAGGTACAAGACAAGGCTCCCGGGGTGCGGGTCACGGGGGACAGGGGAGCAGGACAGGGCAGAGGAAGGTGTTAAGGAAGATGACAAGTTCAGGCTGAGTCCCACCATGGAGAGCTTCGGGCTGATCTCACGTGGGGAACTTCGGGAGGCAAGCTATGCCTTAGCATCTGGGGCAAGGGAGATGGGGAATCCCTCTGACTGCACCTGTCAGTTATGGATTAAGAGCCGCCCCCAGGACAATGGGGATGGACATGAAATCCCAAGGAACTGTAGCCTTCCAGGCCTGCTGAGCAAAGCCAGCTCCATCAGCTAAGGTCAGCCCTTCAAAGGACCCCACATCTGGCTGTTGTGAATACACAGAAGGCAAGGTACATGTGCGGAGCCCATGGACACCAGTGGGGTCCAGGTGGGGTGTCAGCGTTCTCTGCTCTGCTAAGGTACACGCGCGGAGCCCACGGACACCAGTGGGGTCCAGGTGGGGTGTCAGCGTTCTCTGCTCTGCTAAGGTACATGCGCAGAGCCCATGGACATCAGTGGGGTCTAGGTGGGGTGTCAGCATTAACTGCTCTGCTAAATAGGCTCTTTGCATCTACCTTTTTATGTCGATGGTTTCAAATTGTCATGAGGGCCTGTGATTTGTAGCGTTTTGCAGCTATATTCTAGCTAATAGAGGAACAAGGTATTGGCTCACTTCCAAAATGAATGGATTCCAACCTCTTTCTTTTCTGACCAGCAGCCAATCTGCTAAAGATTCAAACCTTGGGTGATGCTATTCAGCTTGCTGAGGTTAGCACATCTCACTCCGTCTCCGGGTGTCTCCAAGAGGAGTTGCCGTGACTGGAGTGGTCTGACTTGCCGTGAGACCGTGCCTGCCACGTTGTGAGCGGCCCACAAGGAAGGCGGCCAGCTGAGGAGCCACCACGAGCGGCAGACACCCGCTCGAGCTCACAGGTGTGAAGCACATGAGAACCTCTGGCCCCCGTGGAGCTCGGGCGGGACTCCACTGGGGGTAATGCATGAGTCGGGCAGTTGGGGCTGAGATGCTGTAGACGGATGTTTGCTTTCCAAGTCATTAGTGGCCTCTAGGATTTGAAGCTTCAAGTCTTCACCTCTTAGGAATTCCTTAGAGTGCTTGCAGTTTGGGGTCATGGTTAAGACCAGACCACAGGTGTCTGGGGGGGCCAGACCAGAATCACCATGTTGAAAACAACACACCTCTTTAAACCACCGGTAACACTGTGGGGGAGGGTTGTTCAGTCGCTCAGTCATGTCCAACTCTTTGTGACCCCATGGACTGCAGCATGCCAGGCCTCCCTGTCCTTCATTGTCTTCCAGAGCCTGCTCAAACCCATGTCCAGTGAGTCGGTGATGCCATCCAACCATCTCATCCTCTGTTGTCCAATTCTCCTCCTGCCATCAATCTTTCCCAGCATCAGGGTCTCTTCCAATGAATAGGCTCTTCACATCAGGTGGACAGAGTATTGGAGCTTCAGCTTCAGTCCTTCCAATGAACATTCCGGGTTGATTTCCTTTAGGACAGACTGGTATAGGGGAGGGGGAGGGCTGTAAATGATTTTTTATGAATTTTCACAGTGTATCTTCTAAGGCATTTGCCACGGATCACACTGGGATTCCGAAAGCATTCAGAAAGTGCAGACCTTCACCTTTTTACACACCACGCCAAAGCAGTTCTTCCAATTTTCCAATCAGCTCTGCATTCTTCAGGCTCCCCCTATGGGAAATTCTCACAGGTCCTGAGATACCACAAAGGCACTGAAATCCTCCAGATAGTCACTTCAGGGAGGGCAATTACAGCTCCCCTTTCTCATTTCCATATTTCCACCAGCCGCAGGCTTAAGTTCAGCTGAAATTGCTTTAAGCTGGAGTAGCCTCCAGCCACATGATGACAGTGTGGTCCAGGTGTGGACAGTCTGGGAGACACCGTGGGCTCGAGCACCCTCAGCTCCCCTGCGTGCCCGTTCCCTTTGGCTAGCCAGGCGGCAGCTTCCTCTCAGCTTCTTACATCGTGCCGACCGTCCACAGTGCATGAGCTGATCCTGCAGCCATGGTGGAGGGGTGTGTGTGTGGGTGTGTGTGTGTGGTGGAGGGGTGTGTGTGTGGGTGTGTGCGCGCGCTTAGTCGCTCAATTGTGTCTGACTCTCTGCGACCCCATGAACTGTAGCCCGCCTGGCTTATCTGTCCACGGTGGAAGAGGCAAGCATAAACTTCATAGAGTGATGGGACGGTCCGTGTGCTCTGTAACCTTGGGGTCTCTGACATTGTGTTTTCCTGATTTGGGAAGGAGATGACAGTCAAGATTCTAATGCAATTTGGGGATTTTGAAGAACTTTTAAAGGAGGACATACTGACAGAGGTTAAGAAAAATTAACCAGGGATTGGACGCCCTCAGGGACCAGTCACGGTGGAAGTCATTCACCTCTAGACCTGCAGGACAGTTGAGAGATGCAGCCGAGACAGAGGCTTCTCAGAAGAAGTGAAAGATGTTCTAGCATCTAGGGAGACAGTTGTTGCAAAGGCTGTGATCTTGGGAGGAGCGGGAGGTGTTTGAACAGAGAGAAGGCTAGTGGGGCTGGAGGGAGATGCTTAAAGGGACTGTGGGTCTGTCGATGCTGTAGAGTTAGGAAGGGGCTGCCCTACCAGCCGTGGAACGCAGTTTTACTTTCCTCCTGCAGACATGGGAAGCCGCTGAAAGGGTTTTGAAAAAGAAGGTACTACCTGGGGTGGCACCATCTTCCCCTGCTGGCAGAGCCCGAGAGTGGCCGCTCCTCTGGAGATTACTCTGAGAGCTAGTGCCTTTTCAGCGGCCACAGCTACCAGGCTCTTCCGGCAAAGTCGATTTTTCCTTCTCTCACTCCAGTGGAGGGAGCCATCCTTGTAGCCGTCACCTCCTCAAGCATCTCCGTTGCCCATGATCTTCAGACCCTTGCCACTGCCGTCACATTCCAAGATGGGACCTCTGGTCTACCTGGAAGACCCTTTCCTCTCCTCTAGAATTGCTGGCACCCCCAGATCCCAGAGATCTGCGTGTCCGGGGCCACCTTCTTAGTTCTCGAGTCTTAACCTCGGGCCTGGTGTCTTTCCAGCAGGGATGTGGAGCCATGGCCCAATGGCATATCTGCAGTGACCACTCATTTTTTCTGCATAATTGTACTCACTGGCTTATTGTTTGGCTGTGCTTGATCTCCACTGGCACGCGGGCTCTTCTCCAGCCGTGGAGAGTGGGGCGGCTCTCAGCCGCCAGGCCCAGGCTTCCCACTGCAGGGTTTCTCTTGCTGTGGAGCAGGGGACCCGGGGCCTGTGGGCTTCAGTGGCTGTGGCCCGCGGGCGCAGACTGTGGTTCCCAGGCCCTGGAACTCGGGCTCGGTACTTGGAGCAGAGGGGCTCAGCTGCTCCAGGACATGTGGGGTCTCCCCGGACCAGGGATCGAACCCGCGTCTCCTAAACTGGCAGGCGGATTCTTCACCACCGAGCCACCTGGGAACCCCTGTGATGACTATTCTTCTTCTCCATGTTAGAGTCCACTCAGGGACTGTGTTAGTACTTGCACAGATTATTTGGTGATTTCTTGCAATGACCCCCTCCGTGTCTACTCTGATCCCCTTTTCCAGGTGAGCGCTGAAAAGGCTGGGAAGGTTTGAGTCAATCACTCCAAGGGCCTGGGGCTACTGCATGGCACAGCAGAATTCAAACCCAGGTCCATATCTTGGGCTCTGGACCTCTCTGTTCTATTGTCCCACCTAGAGATGCATGTCAAGGCTTCAGCTTTCTTACATCATGCACAAACATTCAGCATCCCCCGGGGCCGTTAAAGGCTGGTCAACTCCTTTAGCCTCCGTACTGCAGACGTTGGAGTTCTCAGCACCATGGGGAGGGCAAATGAACAATCACCTCTCGCCCTCTGGGGCCATGCTGTCATTCCTTTGCAAAGAAAAAGAAGTTCAAGTCCTGCAAACAAACTGGGACCCTCTGATTTGGAGTCATAGACTCACTTTCAGGGTGATAATCTGTCAGGGTCAAGCGCAAGAAGAAAAGGGAAAATCAGAGGAATTAGCAAATTAGTGTTTTAGGTCCAACTGGAGGTGAGCCATCATTTGTGAATTAAGTTGACATCACTTAGATCACTTTACAGGCAAGCAGCTCGATAGTAGACATTGCCAGTGTTTATTTGCACAGATGCAACATAGAAAAACATTTCCATGGGGTCATGTTAGCCCAGCTGATGGACCGATAAGGGGAGCCGCACCATCTGCTGACCACCAAGCCTCAGAGCCCTTTTGGGATCGCCATCAACCACACTTAGGATAATGTGAGAGGAAATGGATCATTCTGGTTTCTCCCTCATACAAGCTTAAATTTATATTTTAAAGCGAGTGTGGGCCCCGTTCACCGCTGGAGTCTCCCTGTATGTCCCTGTGCCTTGCAGTCTGTATTTACTTCCAGGAACACTTGATGGTTTGGGTTGTTTATGTCTCCTGAGAGGCTGGGCTTACATCACAGTCTGTGATCTCTCATCTGATGAAGCAGACTCCTTGAGGTTCTTTCTGCAATCGAGCAAAGAGGAAGTATTAGCAAATGTGTAACAGAGATGCTGAGAAGCAATTAGCCCAGATGCTAATTTCATCAGAAATAGACTCAAAGCCCTCATTCCCTCCTTCTTTGAAAATGAGGAAGGGGATCCATGCAGTCGCTAAGGAAGCCTTGCAGTTGTCCTTGTGTGTAGGCTTCGGTGCCTGTATCTGTGTGGGGTGGGCAAGGCAGAGAGGGGTTGGTCCTGGGTTACCATGGGGTGCCTCCCCCTGAGCCGGCCAAGGAGGGATTATATTGCAGTGGGACCTGGATTCTCATCCTTCTTATTCCTGGATGCGTGACGTTGGCCAGTCTCCGGTGCTCTCTGAGTCTTGGCTGGTGTTCGTAAAATCAGGTCGGCATCACATCACCGCTACAAATGTGCCAGTTCCTGACTGCCTTTGGACATGGGCCTCACAAGGAAACAGAGTCCTAGCACTCAAGGACCACACTGTCTTGTAGAGGGACTGATGGGCAAGAAAATCAAGTAGAGAGAAGATTTCAGTGTACCTTAGCAGTGTGCATGGGAGGGAGAGAAAGTGGGCTTATAAGTCTGAAGGATAAAGTAGTAGGAAGTGATAAAAAGTGCTTTATAAACCTTCTCTACATCTGAATAAACTTGAAACTTGGATTCTTTCTGGTTTTAAAGTTGTATTGGTCAGTATAGGCTACTTATGGTGCAGTAACAAAGACCACACGATCCAGTGGCTTGACAAAACAAACATTTGATTTTTTTTTCTGACCACATCCAGCTGGTTGCTAAGGGTTGGGCTAGTCCCTGTCTGTCAGAGTCACTCAGAGACCCAGCTCAGTGAGGCTCTGGGTCATCCTGGAAGTCTGATCTCCATGGCAGGAGATGAAGCTCTGTGGGACTGTTCTCTCTTCCACTTCCGTGTCATTGGCCCAGGTGTCACATGACTGTGTCTGATTTCAAAGGGGTCAGAGGAGGGCCACTTGCCATGTGCCTGGAAAGTGGAGAGAGAGAAGAAATTTGGGAAGACCTCGCCTTTCTGCTTCAGATATGTTCTATAGAAGTCCTGCTGGCTTGCTTGAGAGTCAGAAAGTAAGTATTTGTTGTTTTTTTCTGAAATCGTATAGTATCATAACTATGAATATTACCTAACATTCAGTAATACCATCCCTGGGGGGGTGGGTGAAGGTGTGTATCTATCTCCTGGAGAAATGTTCTTATAGACCTGCAAGGATGAACATAGAGGCATTATTTTAGTAAGGAACAGGAGTCTTTCATTTCCCTGGACATAGAAACCTGGGTTAATTAAAATATGGTGGTTAGAGGAAACCAGATCTGAAAGAGACACGTGCACCCTGATGTTCATCGCAGCACTATTTATAATAGCCAGGACATGGAAGCAACCTAGATGCCCATCAGCAGACGAATGGATAAGGAAGCTGTGGTGCATATACACCATGGAATATTACTCAGCCATTAAAAAGAATTCATTTGAATCAGTTCTAATGAGATGGATGAAACTGGAGCCCATTATACAGAGCGAAGTAAGCCAGAAAGATAAAGACCATTACAGTATACTAACACATATATATGGAATTTAGAAAGATGGTAATGAGAACCCTATATGCAAAACAGAAAAAGAGACTCAGATGTATAGAACAGACTTGTGGACTCTGGGAGAAGGCGAGGGTGGGATGTTTCAAGAGAACAGCATCGAAACATGTATATTATCTAGGGTGAAACAGATCACCAGCCCAGGTTGGGTGCATGAGACAAGTGCTCGGGCCTGGTGCACTGGGAAGACCCAGAGGGATCGGGTGGAGAGGGAGGTGGGAGGGGGGTTCTGGATGGGGAATACATGTAAATCCATGGCTGATTCATGTCAATGTATGACAAAAACCACTACAATATTATAAAGTAATTAGCCTCCAACTAATAAAAATAAATGGAAAAAAAAATACGGTGGTTAGACACCATGGGATGCCATGAGAGGCAGAATAAAGCTCCTTCCATCCTCCCCGCCAGTCCCGCATCCTAACCCCTGGAAGCTGTGACTATGTTACCTTACACAGCTTAGGTTGCGGGTGGAAGTGAGCTTGCCAACCAGCTGAACATCAAGTATTCAGTAGATTATTCTGGGACCAGTGTCATCACAGGGGCCCTTTAAAGTGGGAGCAGGAGAAAAGCGAACCAGTGTCAGAGGGACAGAGATGAGAATGACTTGGCCTGCCACTCCTGGCTTTGAAGTTGGAGGAAGAGGCCACAGACTAAGGAGTGCGGTGACCTCCAGAAGCCGAAAAGGGCAGGGAGACGGCCTCTCCCCTCGAGCCAGAGAGCCTAGAGAACAGATCCATTCCTGGAAAGGCTGCAGCTCTGCCCCTGGCCTGGTGAGACCCATTCCAGACTTCTGACCTCCAGGACTATCAGCTTATACATTTGTCTGGTTTAAGCTTGTGGCATTTTTCTTTCTTTTTGCAGTAGCCGTAGGAAACTAATGCAAATATTCTGCCACAGTCTACATGAACTCGTTAGACATCTAAGTTACAGCAGCCTGTACAGATCTCACCCAAATTCCAACTGAGAAAGTGAGAAACGGGTTGTGATTTTGAACACCAAACCTTCAGTGTAAAGTAAGCACACATCCACATACATGAAAAACATAATTTACAAGGTCACGGGCATATAAAAGGCTATATATTAAATAGATTAAGGTTTATGAGGGAGAGAATGGGAGTAGAAATCACACATAAAAGGAAGAAAAAATATAAAAAGACATAGGCTCTGTGGACCACAGGGGAGTGTGTACTGAATTAGAGAGTGTGATTTAACAGAGACCTGTTAAGTTCCCTATCTGGGGGGCAGAGAATTGAGTTACAGTTGTTTTTAGACATTATACATCCCAATGATTTGCTGTTCTTGCAGGGGCAGTTTGAACTCGTCAAAAGTCTGGATTTGGGAATATCAGAGACACAGTAGCTTTCTTTATAAATGTGTGCCCTTCTGACAGGCTTGGAAGCACGGATTTGAGAACATTGTCTGTTTCTTCCATCGTCACAGCCCTAGCAGGTGGTGCAGTGTCTGGCACACAGCAGGTCTTCTGGAAATAACGCAGTGATTAAATGAGGGGCAGGATGATGGGAGGAGAGAACCAGTGAGCCAGTGAATGTTCAACTTAAGTCAGAGCTGAGAAAGAGCTTTCCCAGTCAGTCAAGTCTCTTTGACTAATTTAACAATTCATGACAAGCCCCATTCCCACCCCCAACTCAAGCAAGGTATCAGACACAGAGTTATGTGTTGTTGGGGATTTAAAGAAAAAGGTCAGGCATACAGTCTCTCCTTTTTTTGTCTTATTTGAGATGTAAATAGGTGATGCCTTTCGCACGGGACACCTCACAGGTGAGAGGTGGGAAACAATGCAGTCAGTGATGAATTCAGATGAGGAGGGCCATCCTGGAAGCGGGGGGCTGTACTCCGCCATAGCAGCTGTTTAAAGTGCGTCCCTGGAGTGTTTGAATGGGTGTTGAATGGACGCCCTCTCGACTTTGCCCGTCTGACTTTGAAGTCTGTGATGTAGAAACGGGGGAACCGACCAAGGGCACTCGAACGATGAAGGGGGTGAGGGGGCAGGGAGGAGGGGGCAGGGGCCTGGTTGCCGGGGGCAGCTGGGAGGGATGCGCGGAGTCAGGGAAGCGGCGGACGGGCTGGCCCGCCTCCCCAGCCCCTTCCCCAACTGGC